TTTTTTGGAACGTCATCTCCAGTGTAGTCGAACATGGGTGTTTCTGGCTCGTTCTAGGTAGAATCAGCACTGAATATGCAATTGCGGAAGAAACCTAGCTCACCTCGCCAGCTCCCGATTTTCCGCTACGGAACCTTCCCCCCATTTTTCTCTTTCCCGTTACAACTACATTCCTTCTACCTCTGAGCTCTTTCGGAAGCGGAGCATACGCAACATTATCGTTCATTTTCATAGTGTTGAGGATTTGAGTCGGTATTTTCTGTGGCGGAGGATACGAGATGTTTTTCGATGCACTGAAATGAGGTGTCCAAGCCGACAAAAGCTGAGTCTTGTAATGAGGTAGGCCAATCGAATTTAACGGGCTATGTGGAGATGAGAGCCCATAACACAGAAATACGATGAATCCACGTACGTTGAATCCGTCCATTCCAACTCAGGAAGAGGCTCCAGGAGGATTAGCCCACTCTACCGGACGGCCTTCAAAGCCATTCAAAGGTACCATTTCATCTCCTTCTACCTGAGATTTCATGTGTATTATTCCATCGGCATCTCCGCAAGCAAGGTAAGCACCAGTAGGTGAGATCGCTACGGATGTGATATAAGATGCGAGGTCGTCGATCTGTATGAGAGTCAGCCGAGGATAAAAAGACTATAACGAAACAGTACCTGAGAGAACTCGTTCGCAACTCCTCCAAGGTTGGCAGCGTCTACGATGCTGATATTGCCTTCATTGGACGTGACGGCTATAGTAGAGGAACGGTTCGGTATAACGTTGATGAATGCAGGACTAGCTGTGAAAGAAATGGGAGGAAGCGCGCGCATGTTACGAAGGTCGTATACTTTGACCAGGGGATCGGGAAAAGGGCGGGATTGGCTGCAAACAATGAGAACAGATCAATAGATGATTGAGAGATACATACCGCAAGCTCATTCCAATGGTGAATACAAAGTTCCCTACTGTCTGTAAGCCCTGTATTCCTCCGTAATGCGCTTTGACCATGCTTTCGGAGCCTCCATTCCGGGCAATGCCAGTCCGTGGATCGTAAGCACGGACATAGCCATCTGCGGAACCAGATAGAAGAATATTGTGCGAGAATTCGAGATGGGTGACAATGGAAGGCGTGGTTGCTTGTCTCGAAAGACTTCCGGTCATTGCATTGACCAACAACAACTCTGAACCGGAAGTTGAAACCGCCGTTATCGTAGAAGAACTCGCAAAGGTCATTACAGTATCTTTAGAGCTGGATAATATTTAGTTATTATCGTAAATTCTGACTGTGGTGTGCTCACTTGTAAAACCATTTGTTCATACCGCCTTTAGCCCATGATCCTACTCCGTCTCCTCCTCCTGAAGCTCCCTTGACCGAATTTTCATCTGCGGTTATCTTTAAGACCGGATGATCTCCAGCCTTGAAGCAGACGCCCCTCAAGCCTTGTATACTGTGATGAGCAGAAATATAACCATTGCCAGATCCTACCCAGAGAGCATCCGATACTGGATCAAACGACAGTGCCGAAATTAACTGAGGGAAAGCATGGACAACAATCGGAGCAAGGGAGTGCTTGTAACCAGACATTCAGAGCATGGAGATTGAGAATTAATCGTAAAGTAAAGAACGCGTCAAAGTTGAAAGAAGAGAGTCCGGCGCTTATTCGTTCTGCCTCCTCATTGGCGGGTGCTACTCAGTGAATGCAGTGGATTAGGTGAACATAAAATAAGTATACTGAAGACTACAGTACAGACATTTAGAGGAAAACACGACAAGTCCAAAAAGTTAATTATCATCCCCAGAAGTATACTCAACCTGCATTATCACGTTAAAAATCTTCCTACTCAACGCCTTTCCTATCTTCCTCTCGGTATTCCCCCCAAAATCTTGCAAAAACTCCTCCGCAATAAAAACATCCTTCTTAGCCCTCGGCTTGCCTCCTCTCACCAGTCTAATCCTTTCATCCTCATCATCGTCCTTCTGCTGCTTTTCCGCCCTCTTACAAGCTTCATACAGCGATTCCGGGGTCGGGAAATGTTGAATCAGCACACCAGCCTTTTCTGCGCTGACACCTTTAATGCACAAAAGCATCCTGGCCCACGTTTCGCGTACAGTTGTGAATCCTGCGGAAGTGCTTGTATAAGGAAAGTCCAAGATATATGTATGGAAACACTTGTACCTGATTTAGAGTTGAGAAAGTCGAAGATAGGGAAAGATATAAGGTGGGATCTAGTTGGGTACTTGCTCCGAAGCTCTTTTTGAAACTTGAGGTAGCTATATCGTTTCACGAACTGCGAAGGGATGATATAAAGGTTTTGGCCCTAGAGAACAGCGTTACTAATACATACTAGGGGATGAAATATATAATACGATACCTGGTAACTCGAAACAACATTCTGATGCAGTCTCGCGTAGAAGCTGATTGTATCGTTGACAGCTCCGAGTCTCCTTGACGAGGAACTTGTCGATGATTTTCGTTTGAGATTTGGAGGTCTCGATAGCCTTGTCAAATCTGCTCTTGTCTTCCTCTTCGGAGATTCCGAGTCCCTCTAGACATCAAGACCGATAATCAGAATTATTTCGCTTATAGAGGGATAGGGGATTTACTCATTTTGTACTCTTCAACTAGATAGTAAACTTTGGTTATAGCAGTGTTGTGTAGTCTAAACTACAAAAATTGACATTAGTCGAAAAAACAGCATTGAAATACAAGGAATACCTTCTGTTCATGAAATCGGCCGTGCTTGATGGATAGCTGCAAATCATCCAACCTTTTCCGTTCCAAAATACAATCTAAAGCAATCTCATCGTACTCTCCTCCATCGCAATGTTCGGGTTTCCGCTTGGCAATCCAACAAACATCTCCAAGGTTCAGTGATCGCTGTTCCACCCTGATATTCTTACGACGCAGCCCGTCATATATCCCACTACGATCCACACCACTTTTTATCTCTCTGTTGTCGAGAACAAGAACGACGTCGTATTGGTGGTTTGAGATGACCAGCGGAGTAAAGTCGGGAAAAACGACATGGTCTGTAGACGCATACGGATCCTCGATATCGATATCCATCTCTACAGGCGGAGGGATAACGTGAGATAGGCGGGGTCGAGTAGCTTGAGTTTGATTTCGATTTCGCTGAGTGCCCACGGGCGCGGAATCTGTGCGTCGTATAGAAGCTTGACTGGAGGAAGCGATTGGACGGGGTGGAGAAGGGGGTGACATTAGAGGCATCGTCTGAGCACGCTGAGCGAGTCCGCCACCACTCGAGGAACCACTTTTTCCAGCTACGGGGGCTCCAGAAGCCGACACAGTCCAGCTTAGGTTACTGGCGGAGGATATCTGGCGCGAAGGATCTACACCGCCTCCTTTCTTCTGCCTTTTAGCAATCTTGGCGTTTTCAGCAGCGAGAATATCGACGTCGTCGTCATCGTCTGTCGCAGAACGTTTGCCACTCCCGGATGCATTCTTCAAAGATGCTGCAGATGAGGCTGAGGGTGCGGCGGCGGCGGCGATGGTGGGTCGCGTAAGCCAGTCTAATGGTAAAGTGGACTTGGAAAACTGAGGCTGGAAGCCGATATCCATAGGGAGATATCCAATCATTCGAGTTGGCTGTGGCACCTTGGATGTGATTTGGCTAGCGATGGGATGCTGACAACTACGGCGGAATTCGATGAGAAACCCTGGCGAGTCCAATTCTACCTCAAAGTGAGCCATTTCTCTGGATGGTACTCGAATTTCGCTCTCGTCTTGACCAGTTTTAGAGAAGAATAATCTCGCACAGAAATGATTCACGTACCATCATCATAGCACAAGTAGCAGAATTGAAAGACGCCTTCATCGACAGCCATTGAAGCTTCTGGTAATCTTGCGGAGCTCGAGCTAGCCACTCGAGCACTGAACAAGACGCGTCCGCGGTCGAGCTAGATTTTCTAGGACGACCAGGAGCCTTCTTTTTCTTGTCTGCTACTGGCGTATCTGTATTTGAAGGCCTTTCTGAGGACGACCTGGACTCCATTCCCCTTTTGAGCGCCTTGACCATAGCTTTTCCTACACCCTTGACTTGAGCGGCATCCTCTGGAGTGACCAAGACCTCGGGATGCCCCTTGATTCCGTTCGCTGCCTAAAGATATTGTCAGTGTGTGTATATTAGTCCGTCTAGAGGAGACTGGCTTTATGGTAGACCCAGTACATATTGCTCAGGTCTAAAGACGAGTCAGTTCATAGCGTGATTATTGTTCAACAACTACAGACCTCTATCTTCAGCATCTCGGAGCGACACGAGAATTTCATAAAAGATCGGATTTTTGCAGTTTATGCGCTTCTTTGGAGGCATTCTGAGTGGCGGTTATGGAACAAAAGAAAAGGTGTCACGGTCACGCGTCTTCTCTCGCGATGTCACAACCCCCGGCGGGATTCGAACCCGCAACCTCTGAATACTGATCGATCTAAAAGCCCGCCAGGGCTTTTAGATCGGTCAGTAGACGCTAATGTGTTTTTCGCGGAGCGATCCCCGGCGGGCGCTAATTCGGATGAATTTTTCGCGAAGCGAGGCCAATCAATGTGTTTGAGCGTCATGTATTTCTCGCAAAGCGAGAGCCCAATGTATAATGCGACACCCAACGAGCGCCCAAAGCAACGATTGTGTATTTCGTTCAAAACGGCCTGAATTTGGGTCGTTTTTCTGCCATGGGTTTTGGCCGCGTAGATCGACACAGCAGATGACCCGGATTCAAGTCGCTCTGCAGCCTGAATTCAGGCCGATTTGTCTTTATCGCGAAGCGACGATGCTCTGCCATAGGTTTCACTGAAAAATGACCCGGATAGTTGCGACTTGTCTTTACAGCTGATTGCGTTTTCGATTTCAGGCTTCTTGTTCGCCGCCAGTGATCCGCGCAACCTCATTGGCCAGCCTTTGAATCGTTGTTTGCTCATAACTGCTCTTCGATTTCGCAATCAGCTGTATCTCGAAGCGACGGTGCTCTTCGCTGGCTCAAGGGACTCAATACTGTGCCCCAGTTGTCTAATGGTTATGACGTCAGACTTCTACTTTCGAATTGGCTGAATCTGGAGGTTACGGGTTCGACTCCCGTCTGGGGTTGGTTTTTAGTCGAGTGAATGAAATTCATTGCTGATAACTCTACAAAGAGCAAACTCATGTCCGCCGCGGAAAGCGGCTGTCAGCGGCAAAGAGCTCGGTATATGAGTCAGCTTACGCCGTCATATGACGTTCCGTTTCTTTCCTTCTCTCCCTCACCATGCCACTCAGAACCAAACCTAAACGCACAAATGCCGAGGTTCTGCAGGAGCGTCTGAATACGAATGAAGCTCTCAGGAAACTTTTCGAATCCGACCTTGACAAGCACCATTTTGCGCGCTTGTCGGACCCCACCCTCAGGAATCATGCGATGGTCATGAAGCATTATCGAGAATATAGTGAATATACTCGACAACTCTTTAACGAGGGAAAATCCACCGTTCAGCCAGAAACTCCAGAGATTGCTATTGGCACTGCTCAGTATGTCTCGGAACGCTCTTCTATGTCTTTACATCCTCATCTTTTCATTAGTCTACGTCAAGGGCTTTGCCCGTTACCTGGCCTCGGCTTTGCAAGGACAAGACGAGTCCACTTCCATTCGCTTGGCCACACTCAGAGGCTATATGTCCACCTTCATCGCTCTCTGGCCCCGTCATGCCAACGTCCATCCGTCTAAAGAATTCCGGTATCAACTAAATGCATATATTACCTCGGAAGAGTTTCTCACTTCCTTGCACTAGTTGTATTCTCGCAGCATATGTTTTCGCGCCTAGTCTTATAGCATACAGTATACTCATTGTACTTTTATCAGCGTTCAGCTAAATTGATGTATTTGGATCTGGTATCAAACCAGATTAGTTAGCAAAACTTGAAAGTAGAAGTCTGACGTCACAACGGGGGGTTGGCTTGTTCAACAGCATATAAGTAGTGTATCATTCATGAGTACACTTGAAGCTGTGATACAATAGACAATCCAGTCTAGAGAATCCAATGTCCAGCATAAGCATGTAGTAGTCTTCCACTGCGCAGTCAGTACCTAGGAACACCTCTTCCAAACTTCAAGCCCGACAACTACCTCCTCACAGTAACAACCCACCTCTGAACCCATCCGGCCTTGATAACCGCTGCATGCCACTGGAGCATACCGCTACTAGTAGCTGGTGTTCTCGCCGCCGTCTCCGATTCCGATTCTATCGAAGAACCTTTCCGTGCAAAACCTAACGCACGAGCGCCCAGAGCCGACGTATACTCTGCAGACGTGTTAGTGCAAGAGAGGATTTGCAATGGTGTCTCGGAAGTGGGAATAGAATCCAGGTTGGCGTTGGTGTTCGCCTTCGCATTTAGAAGAGAGGTAGGAGTAGAATTCGAAGGAGTGGTGGTGGTGATGGTAATGGTTGACAGAATCTCTACGACGCGTTTGAGCGAGAGAAGCATAGGCGTCGGGGCTAGTGTCGAGTTTGACTGGTTCTGATTTCCCGAATCGATACAGATATCGGAACACATAAACGGAACCGCACACAACGTCCAGGTCGTACTGTCACTGAGGAACTTGATCTGCGGAGCTAAGACGCTGAATTCGACGGTCCCGATGGTACCAATCGGAAGCGAACGAACGAAGGATTGGATTTGGGCTTCGATGGAGGCATATGGGATGTGGTCGAGGTCGAGGAGAGAAGGAGCTACCCCGAGAGACCCAGGGGAAGAGACACCAGCAGCACCACCAAGAACACTGGCAGAGGATGCATATCCAGCCTGAGCGTACCCATTCAAAAATACCCAGCCAACAACTCTCATGGTGAACCTCGTCCCAACGTTCAACTTGACTTGATACCCATTCAGAGACAGGGTTCCTTGTAGGAGGGATAACAGGGAAAACTCCGAGTTATCAGGGCAACGGAAGGATTCCAACGTGGATAAGGTAGAAGCAGACGCAGAGGCAGAGGCAGCGCCATCCGTACGTGTAACGTCCCTCAGCCTCAATTCCAGCTTGCCGCTGAGCAGTCCGGCGAGAAGAATGGATACATCGAGCTCTATGATCGCTTTGGAACCATCATGACGCGTCGGCACTCGCAGAAAATCTATCGGAAATCTAGAACGTCCAATGGGAGTGGGCACGATGAAGGAGGAGAGAGTACGGTGAATGTCGGAGCGACGGGGAACAACAATTCCAGTGACGGTGGTAGCAGATTTATTTGATGAATTCTTCTTCGTCGTTTTCATCTTCAATGCAAAGAACAACAACGACAATAATAAGATAGCAAGCAAAGAGCGACTGGGAGGTATTCTTGTGAGAATCTGGTGCCGTTATAGTCGAGTAGATGCATATTTGAGACTCCGAGTCGGAAGAAAGCAAGTGGCGCGACGAAGAAACGATGAACGATGGACCTCAAAAAACTCCACCGAGTACTCGAGAAGCTCCAGCAACATGACTGGATATGGTGCATGCTGCAACAGCAATAGTTTGAGCTTTAGAAAATATTCTTCAGCACCATATTTCAATGATGAATTCAGGTACGAATCCGAAGTCGGCAGTGAAGTGAGAAAATTTAGAAAACGACGCGTAGTTTGTCGAGTATATTCATCGCAATTGGTTCGAAGAGACGGAATGAGAATCGATTGGAAGGAAAGTACATTTGGATCGTGTTGAAGTCGTGGTAGTACAATTAAAAGCTATGTAAGCGCCGAAAGCTTTACACGGGAATCTACGGATAGTGACACGGACATCGTAGCTGGCATTGGCTGAAGCCCAAGTTCACCAATTTCTCAATGTGCCGTCGAACGCAAAGCGCATACAGATGACAGAGAATACAGAATAGCTTTCTTAAGAGACTGTAGCAAGAATTAACTTCTCTGCATGCGGAGTACGAGGAGTAATAGAACATTGAAACGGTTTAGGGTAGCTAGAAGACCTTGTTGAATTAAAAAAAATTGAAGGATCGGAAGGATGAAATTCAACTTACCGGAGGAAGTAGTTGGTATATTCTTCATAAACGAGTATTTCGTTTCCTTGCTTGTCTTTCAGCTTGCCGAAGCTGAGTGTAGCCAACACAGAGGCGATAGTGAGCCAAACGGTGTTATCAGCCATGTACCTTCCAGCACAGATTCTGGAGATCAGTGTATGAGTTGGATGGCCTAAGAAAGAGATGTTCGAAGAACCTTCGCCCAAATCCATAAGCATGAATGGAGTCTATATCAATGAATGGCCCTCCGCTTGAAGCGTCAAGAAAACGTTCGGGAAGGAACTCCTCAGGCCGTTTATACACAGCCGGATCTCGATTCATGGCCCTACGATCAGAGTCATCGCTCAAGATACTTACTGGCCTCAGCGTTGTTAGCGCACCAGATATTAGGAATCACAGATCACCCTATAAAACATAGTAAGGTCCCAGCAAAACAAAAAACAAAAAGAAATAACCTTTCGGAATATGGTAATCAAGATAAGAATCTTCTTCTATGGAACTACTTATGTTGAACTCCTACAGATATCGGGTCATTATCCTCCTCTCAATCGAGTCATTGGAACATCCTTACCGAGCGGAAAAGGAGGGTGCAATCGCATGACCTCGCGGTAAATTGCTTCGACATAGGGTAGGGATTGGCGATCCCCAAAGGTAGGCAGTCGATCACTACCCAGCACACGATCAATCTCTTC